GGTTTTCTTGCCACTGCTGTTGTCTCTCTTCTTGTTTCTTTTCTTTTTCTTCCAACAACTGCTGTAATCTCTCTTTTTTATTTTGCTGTTCGAGCTGCCATTGTTGCAGGTTTTCTTGCCACTGCTGTTGTCTCTCTTCTTGTTTCTTTTCTTTTTCCTCCAACAACTGCTGTAATCTCTCTTGTTTATTTTGCTGTTCGAGCTGCCATTGTTGCAGGTTTTCTTGCCACTGCTGTTGTCTCTCTTCTTGTTTCTTTTCTTTTTCCTCCAACAACTGCTGTAATCTCTCTTCTTGTTTCTTTTCTTGTTTATTTTCTCGTTCTTCTTGTTTCTTTTCTTGTTTAATTTCTCGTTCTTCTTGTTTCTTTTCTTTTTCCTCTAACAACTGTTGTAATTTCTCTTCTCGTTCTTCTTGTTTCTTTTCTTTTTCCTCTAACAACTGTTGTAATTTCTCGTCTTGTTTCTTTTCTTTTTCCTCTAACAACTGTTGTAATTTCTCTTCTCGTTCTTCTTGTTTCTTTTCTTGTTTTTGTATTGCTGCCTTCAAATCTGCTAGGCTGTAGTCTGATTTCCCGCTTCTCGTTTCTTGTGTCGCGTAAGTTTCGTCGGTACGAAGTTACGGAAAATAAATTAAATAAAAAAACGGAAACGTAACAAATTGGTGTCAGAAAGTGGGATAAAAGAAAAATGGACTTGTGTCGTTAAAGTTTCGTTGAAACGAAGTTACGGAAGCATGGTAATGTGTGTGTAGATAGATAGTGAGTAATTGATCTGCGGTCAGAGTATTATTGACGTTCGTTGCTATAGCGTTTGTTTAGCGCGATTGTTGAAGTTCAGTGTATCGGTTAAGTTATATTCGGAAAGAATAAACCAGTTTTATTAAGTAAAGTTTTATATATACCAGCCCACCCTACATCGAGCAATTACTAGAGCATTCCCGAAAGAACAAGATAGTTCTAGAAACAAGAGAGCGTGTGAATTGTCACGTGATCTCGATGACGCAACAATACATTTTGCACTTTCAACTAAAGTTTTTGAACGACAAGTCTTTCGTGGAGCATAGTATTGAAACTGGCCTACAGTTAACTTTTCTATGTGCCCACCAATTCCTGCATATATAAATTTTGTACTTTAGATAGAATTATTCCAAAGTAGATTGTTAAAAAATTCAGCATATTGTTATTAACGTTGCATGTACATTATTTTTTGCTACTGTTCATGATAGGTAACGTGATCAATACTCCCTCTAGTCATTGAAACCGCATTTCTGTTTAATTTTATTATTTTGTGATAAAGTGAGCTATTTTAGGCTAATAACGTTTTGTAAAATACCTTCAATGCTAAAAAATTATAAAATATATGCAGATGCACTTTTATACCAGAAAAATATTCAAACATCAAACAAATTATTATGAAAAGGGAATATTGACATTTGTGAACTTTTTGAACACCAAAATAATATGAGAAGAGAGGAAACTGTTATCTTAAATCTAATGTGCATAATGAATAGTAACCACAGGCACTAATGTTAGGTATTTAAAGAGTTACTTTGTTTTATTATCAATCAGCTCCATTACTTATTATTTGTATATCAATAACATATTAAATATTGTTGTAAGCTATATTTTTAATGTAAATCTTTAATACAGGAAGCTCATCATTTAGAGACTTCAAGAATCTATTATTTGGGACATCATCTGGAAACAAGATACATTGTTTATAAGTATGAGTAAATATTTAGTGATGAGTAATAAATTACTGAGAATTTAGGGAAATGTTTAATGAGTGAATCAGTTCGGTGTCAGGCAGTAGTAAAAACGTTATTCAGTAAAAGCTATGGCGTCTATTCTGCTGTTCAGTAACTTGTTGTTTTTTTTTGTTGTTGATGTTAAGCACAAAGCTACATAGTGGGCTATTTATGCTCTGCCCACATCAGGTATCGAAACCTGATTTTTAGCGGTGTAAGTTTAGGGTCTTACCATTGAGTCACTGGGGTGGCTCAGTTACTTGGTGAACTAGTATTGCTTATCGATCGAATAACTCTGAAAGGAATTTTTATAAATTAGATGTACGTCTCGTATTTCAGGTTAGGTATCGATTAGTTTCGGATTTATGTTAAAAAATGTTTTTGAATAAACTACGAATTAAATACCACTTTTTTAAAATAATTTTTGAATCTCCACTGGAAATTTTTAATTTATCTTAGTACTACTATCATTCGACAGTGGTGTTGCTCTAACAAAAAAATAAAAAAACTGAGGGACAAGTCATCTTTTCAAATTATTATCTACCTGTCGAAAAATGCAAATACTAAACATGTGCCCCATCCTCTAGCACGGCGTCAAGTCTAAAGGTTTATAACGCTAAAAACCGGATTTCGATACCCTTGGTGGGCACAGAGCAGATCATCCATTATATAGGTTTGAACTTAACTACAAACAAACTAAGCAAATAATATTTTATTGAATAACATATGAACTGCGGCCTCAGCAGGAGCATCGAGAGCCAGCATGGGCACAGGGACAAACATCCTTGCCGAGCCCCCTTTCTCACTCTCTTTTTTAACATTTGAAAGAACTTACTAATAAAAAGATCCTAAATTAGGACAGCAACGAGCTCATAAACAAGGTAAAATCATAGCAGCAGCCATTTTTAGCTCGCAGTTTAAATTGTTGTTGTTGTTTGTTATTAAGCACAAAGCTACACAAAAGGTTATCTGTGCTCTGCCCACCACGGGAATCGAAACCCGGTTTCTAGAAGTGTAAGTACCCAGGCACACCACTGTGACACTGGGGGGGGGGGGGTGCAGTTTAAGCGTAAAAACGTTAATAAAGTAACAATAAATATCTATTAAATCTATAAAGTAATACATTTATGTTAATTATTACTCAAATTATTATTTCAATCATTCTTAATGTATCAAGCATCTATATGCATATATAAGCCAAAAATTATGCTTTTATGATTGAATGAAGATATAGCCTAAAGGTTCGATGACGAGGAACCCTGATGATGACAAAACCTTGTCGAAACGTTGTACATTTGCTGTTATATTAAAGTTTTTCTTCATTACCCATTCAAGCCGTCTCCAGCCATTAATAGCCTAAAGGTGATTTGCGGACTTTACGGCATAACCAGCTTTCATTCGCCCGGACCTCTGAGTAGTTAACCCTTTGCCCCCTTGTCGGCGGGCCTGATAAACTATTTAATAAGTTTTGTTACAAAAATTTAAAGTATAAGATATTGTATTTTTTAAATTAAAGTGCAAATTTCTAGCACACTAAAAATCGCAAATGTCACACAATATGTATGAAGTATTTTACAAAAATACAAAATGCGGTATTAACTTTGTATCTGTACTAGGTTTTTATTAAATATTTTAGTACATTTTTAGGCATGGCATGGCCAGGTGGTTAGGACGCTCGACTCGCTATCTGTCTGTGGGTTGTGAGTTTAAATCCGCATCCCACCAAACATGCTCTCCTTTCAGCCGTGGGGGCGTTATAGTGGGACAAGAGTTGGCGGTGGATGGTGATGACTAACTGCCTTCCCTCTAGTCTTTCACTGCTAAATTAGGAACGGCTAGCGCAGATAGTCCTCGTGTAGCTTTGCGCGAAATTCAAAACACACCTGATATTTTGTGGTAAGTGAGAATAAAACGTTAATATGTAACCGGCTGTACTTCAAGGTTAGTAAAAAGGAGCTAGTTTAGTTAATAATGATAACTTCTTTTCAGAGTAAGTTATGTGTAAGTTATTACGAAATTAGAAATCAACCTGGTTCTCAATATAGCTAATTAAGTATATTTTTCTTACGTTTCTTCATATATAGATCATACATTGTTAATCAGTTGGGTACCTTAGTTGTTAACGATATTATGATAAAATATTTTTAACACTAGGTGGCGCATCAAAAACTAGTACTTTTTAAATAAAGTGAGGGAAGGTATATTATTTTTAAGTTTTACTTCCAGGGTTAAGTTTAAAATATTTTGTAAATGATCTGGAGAACCATATCGTGTACTTTCAAAGAGTTGAATCTAGATGTTACTCTCGCTTGTGGACAGTCGTTTCGGTAATTTCTGTCTAACTTCTAAGTTGTAGCAGGCTTTATATCAATAAACAGTACTAAATAATAGTAATTTGAAATGAAATTATTAAGTATAGGTATAACTAGTAGTAGTTTTAATGAGCAGTTACTGAGTTAGTCAAGTGTTCAGCGAGTAATTCCCACATCAATGTTAGTTATGTATGTTCAGTTATTCAAGTGAATTGGAATTGTACAACTTACAAGACAGTTTATTTGTGAGTTAGGCATATTAGTATTACTAGTATTAGTACCATTAGCGAGAAATTTATATTGAAAAATTATGAACTTAGGTCTACAACTTGTGTAAAATTGTATATAGCCTGTAGAAACGTTAAAAAGGAAAGTAATTTGTGATTATTATGTAAAATGGGCTTGGCATTATTTTTACCAGGTAATCCACAAGATCCCACCCAACGATAAAATGCTACAACGTTAGAGCAATGTCATGACTACTGTATCAAACATTTGTAAATTGTAGCAATATTTTTGGTTAAACATTTACCTTCCAATTTATAGATTAACCTATTTTGAGTAAAGGTAAAGAAAGTTGCACCTACTACTTAAATACATCATTAACTGGACGTTAGATACAGCCCAATGTTGGTAGATTCTTTATGACATAGAAATAATGGATTTATTCATGAAAATTTTAGAGTTAGATGTAGATAATTAGAAATTCATATGTAGTATTAGTCAAATATATATATATATATATTTAACCCTATATTTTGTTTTGTTTTGTGAAACCACAGTTTGCTAAATATTTTCAGAAAATGAAACCTTTAAAAAAACTTTGTTTTTGCAGTTATTCATTGAAAGTCCTTAAAACTGTTTGTATGATATTAGAACACTAAATTGTATCTTGAAAAGTATGTAAATATCATAATTAAAGTTGAAGCTAGTAATGAAGCTTATCTACTGTCAGTTATTGTGTGAAATAATTAATTGTCTATAAGGAGTTATATTCACACTTACTGATTGTTTTAAGGCAATCCACATAAGTTTTGAAATGATCAAGAAAAACTGTTTGTTGTTTTTTTTGCAAAACATTGGTGATGCAAACTGTGCTGCATGCATGACTTAAATATTCCAATGATTTTAATTTCTTTGTTTAAAGATTCTATACTGTCAGTGTTACTAACACTCATTACCCATTGAGCATGAGACTCAAGCACTTGGACATATTTATAAGATTACATGTATTAGTAAAAAAAATCTTATTTGTTGGTCAAATTAGCAGACTGTTGTTTGAATTGTTGGATCCAGCATCATTGATAAATGAAAAACACTAATTTGGTTCATTAAATAAAACATTATCTGGGTGAGCACGACTCCAGATTCTCCTTCAGAAAGTAAGTGCCAAAGGCACACTCACCATTTTACCATATGCTAAATTTTTACTTTGTCAAAAGTCTCACTTAAACAGTTGTCAACCTTCTACTTGTGGCAACATATTTGTTTCAATATCATGTGTTTCCTTTATACTGATACAGTTATTAGGCTACATGTAACATGTACTTCCTACTAAAGTTACTGTAAACAGTAATGAAAAACAAGAGCATAAAACAAAGCCATCTATTGCCAGTAATTCACTTTATTGTGTGGTGACATAGGAAAAAATTGATGTTCTAAAGAACATTTAGTAACTTTGACATTTTGTTTTTATGCTCATAGCGTGCAGTTTTAAGCACAAGTACACATTGTTAGAGATGCTAGGGAGAAAACTTCTTATTTTTTGGAAGTGAAAAAAAGCAGTAGCAGTTCGTCATTTCTATTCACTTGATAAAGAACGTAGCTACTCTGAGTAAGAAACGGGAAATCATTTTGTTTGGGAGGTTGTAGCTGTCAGTTGGTTTTAGAAAGTAAATTGTTCCTTTAACATACATGATTCATAAGTAAGGTAGTTAAATATTTAAGCTTTGTTAATGATTGACGAAGTATTTATTAATTATAAACAACAGTATCATACACATTTATTGGATAATTCATGATTAAACATTTGATTTTAAAATTCCATAGAGAAATGTTTGTCATCTTCCAACAATAAAATAACTGTACCCGATGTAATAGTTTTTTTTACACAATCAGATCGTAGTTTTAGCAGTAATCTACCTTTTGTATGTATAATATTATCTTCATTACAGTGTTCTGTAATAAAGACTTTACAAGATAATGAATCTTTTATCTTTTTTTTGGGGGGGGGAGAACATAAATTTAAAAAGTAGAACAGTAGATATTTTTGTAGTATGGTATCTCAATCTTTCATTAAAAATTACAAGTACTTCTACTGTAGTTAGTTATATAAAACATTAAAAGGCTGACAATTTTTTTGTTATCTCTAGATGTTGTTTTTCTGTAATATATTGTTATTATATTAAAACAGTGGTATTTTTTTTGTTTTTTTTTTTAATGTGCGTGTTTCGTTTTCTCCTTTTTTTAGGGACCACATCATCTCCTTCAGGAATTGGACAACTTTTTTCTTTTGGTTCATTGTGAACTTTATAAAGCAGGTTTCCTTTATCATCTTGTTTAATTGACCACACATATCCAGCCAAAGTACTCATCCATTCTTCATTTTCATTTTTCCACCACCTATCAACTAATAATCCTGAAAAGAAATTGTCCACTTCTGTTTCAGAAAATGATCAGTATAATATATTACACAATATTTTAAGTGATTATTTTCAGTTAAGTATCAATCTTGATAAGTTATATAACCAATGGACAACAGTTGATGAAAACTTCGGTAAAGTAGCTAAGCATTTTCCAGGTGTTAGAATACTACGACAAGATCCTACAGAAAATCTTGTTTCTTTCATCTGCTCTTCAAACAATAATATTGCCAGGTATTTGTATAGATATAATAGTACTGTCAGTTGTATGTCCGTGTAACTACTTTGCATGGTGTGGCTGGATCTTAACCAAAATTTGTATGGACTTCATTGGGTCCATGTGGAAATATGTACAAATTTTCAGTTTTATGGTTTGCACTTTTTATGGGTCTTTTTGAATTTTTTTTTACAATTACATATAAGGGAAGCAACTTTTCATGAATTTACATAACTTCCATCCAGGGGACGGGTACTTCAGATAGTATATATATGTTACTTAACTGTAATCTACGGTGTATTTGTATGTCTATGAACAAGTTTTATTTACCACTGTAGGTGAAAGCAGAATGTAAAGTTATTTTCAAAAAGGAATTTCTAGGTGAGTTTCATTTAAAGCAGTTGTTGTGTGGTTCATTAGTATTTTTTCCTTATAATTTTACTTCAGGTACATGGGTACAATTGGAAATAATTATGGAAATCTTAAGGAGAAAGTAGCAAATATTAGAAGAATACCACCCTTTTATTATGTGAAAGTGCACCAGAGTACAATCATTTGTTGATAGTTTACACTGTGATTGGTTGTCATTCAACCAATCAGAAATTACCCTACTGTTATATAGCCTATAAAAGTAGAGGTAGTCGTACTATACGCAGTAGTACCGTGAATGCAGTCAAGGCTCTCGGAACTGAAATACCACACGACAAATATGTAGAAATCAAAGTACAGCCAGATTCCAACATTCTGAAATACCACACAATAAATATGTAGAAATCAAAGTACAGCCAGATTCCAACATTCTGAAATACCACACGACAAATATGTAGAAATCAAAGTACAGCCAGATTCCAACATTCTGAAATACCACACGACAAATATGTAGAAATCAA